ATTGTCAATACACATGCTTTATTTTACTTTTGTTGTGTCTTACTAATGACGTGTTCAATGGCGGAGCTAGTACAAGAGCAAGCCGGTGCTTTGCCCACTCTAACCTTTTTAGGTTGTGTTTGACGCGCCACAGCTAGCTGATAAGCTAGCTTATTTTTCGAGCTTTTGTATGTTGTCGTGTTTGGTAAGCCAAAAAGTAGCTTATAAGCTAGCTTTTTGAAAAGCTACTTAGACTAGCTTTTTAGGAGCTTTTTAAAAAAATTTCAAATACACTCCTTAATTAATTATAGAAACACATACTCTTATATGTCTTTTTATGTAATTTTAAATATTTTAGCTAGCTTTTCAGCTAGTTTTATCAAACGTTATTTTTTATCAGCTAGCTTTTCAGCTATCAACTAGCTTTTTATTTAACAGCTAGCTTTTCAACTAATAGCTAGCTTTTCAGCTAGTACGAAAAACATAACCTTGAAATTTAATATTTGCAATTCCTACTACTGTTTGACAATTATTATTTCAACTCCTTAGACTTATAAACATATTTTATATTATACCCTTTAACTTTATTTTCTATTGTATATCGTTATAGAAACTTTGCATTATTTTCACATCTTACCCTTTATACACTGATTTACACTTTTGTATAGTTATTAATGTATTAATTAAATGGTTTGAAATTTAATATTTGCAATTCCTACTATAACATCATTTACACTTTCATATAGGAGTATTTATTAATTAAACTTAGTTAATATTAGAAGTGTGGATGTTTAGAATTTAGAATATTTGTATAACTTCACTCATATGTATGGATATAACTTTTATCACTATAATTTAAAAAGTAATCATCGTTACGGTAATTTAAAATTTGTAAACTCTTGCTACCTTTACTGTATAGTGGTGTGACTATTTTTTGGTGAAAGTTAATTTGTAGGTGTAAGTAATAATGTGATCCTCCAATGAGATGAATTATTATAAAAAAAGTATATAAAATAATTGTTCCTAGTTATAGTAAACATATAAAAATAGGTCTTTGTATATTTAGAATATTATTTTATACATAAAATAGTAGCAACTCCATATATATATATATATATATATATATATATATATATATATATAGAGAGAGAGAGAGAGAGAGAGATAGGTTCATGTGTTTTAAGTAAGTATTGTGTTATTATATTCATAAATGTGGGCCAATCAAAATTTAAAATATAAATAAATAATTAATTAAATAAATAAGGGTAAATAGGTAATTTGATAATTAGTTTCCACAAATAATATCTTATAATTATGGTAACCATTGACTTCAGCTACTAGGCTTTTTAAAACCACCGTAACCCTAATCAAACCATCTCCAGCCGTCACCTCCATCCTTATGCCTCCCACCACTGGCCGCCACCCTATCCTCTTGCTCCTCCGACCACCGTATCCACCGCCCTTCTGTCCCAACCAGATGGCGAGATTGGAGAAAGCCAACAACACATCCCCTTTTACCGACTTTCAATAGACGTTTTGGAGAAGCTCTCTCTCTCTCTCGTTATCTTTATTGTTCGCTGGAAAAACCAAAGAAAAACCGGAGGCTGCTGCCTCCAATCAAGCCTCACCGGCCCTCCTATCTTGACGAAAAAGCAAGCCTAAGAAGCCCCTGCATCATGTCGATCTCGGCTACGATTTATCCCCTTTTCACGATCCAGGTATGATTTTCGATTAGGGTTCTTATTATATCAATTTGGGGTTGCTGGAAATCTTTTTCACACACACAAATCGGGAATTCTTTGAACATCAACTTGAAACCAGTTTTCTTATTCTCTCTTGCGATACCACTTCTCGATCAACATCGCTTGTATGAGAATCCATGGACTCTTCCTCGTTCTCACTCTCAACTTCTCTCCCTCTCTCGATTCCAGTCGCACGCAAAACACACACACAATCCACCCACACCCTCTCTCTAATTATTCACGGTTTTTAGGGGAGAAAAAGGAAGGTGTTTGACTCCTAAAAAGGCAGAAATAATCGAGAATGGCAGGAATCATCTAACTTTCAGAAGTATCTCGTCTGGTAGGCTCAAAAGGGTAAGAAGGCAAGTCTCCCTATGCTGCGTCGATTTCAGTGGAGAATAAGTTATTAAAGCTGATGAATTGCTGCGATTTAATACAATTTGATTTAAAATTGATTTTTAAATGCCTTCAGCTGTTAGGAACTTAGGATATTTTGATCTTTATCTTGCATTTTACTAGAGTTCATGGGCATTATAGAGAAACGTTTGAGTTGATAGTTTGCGTTGGTTGAAATGTTCTGTTTATCGCAACTGAATTGATGAAGACTTATGCAGGGATTGGGGCCATATTCCACAAGCATCAAGAAAGCTGAAAAAGATGTAAAGGAAATGGCCAAAAGGATCAACGATTTATGTGGTAAGCTAATTCTATCGGAATAGAATCACGAATTCAAATTCTATCGGAATGGAAACATGAATTCTAATTCTGTTGGAATGGAATATGGATTTTTTCTCATTGATTATACATGTTTTACAATTTTTGGTTATTGGTTTTGGTGCAGTTAACAAGTCCGCTTATTTTTCCAAAGGAATATAGTTTTTTATTTATCATTTGCTAATGCGTTATTGGATTCTAAACTACAATTGGATTTGTTTTCACAGAAATTGATGCTTGAAGAAGTTGATGCTTGAAGAACGGACAACAAAATTAAAAGTGTTTCTCAGCAATATTATTCTGTTAGAATGAATTAGTGTATTTGTTAGATTTTGATGTTTTTTTTCCCAATTTGAAAGTTTTTTAGTTTTATTTTTTAACAATAAATGTAATTCTTAACAATTGTTACATGTATTCTATAAGAATTAATGTAATTTTTGTTTTAATTTTTCAATTGCTGGTTCGAGAATTTGTTATTATACAAGAAATTTTTAAAGTCATGATCAAGAAAATTTGTTATTCTAGAATATTATTATTTTTGAACATACTCAAACATATTCTGTCAGAATGTCCGAATTAAAAACCTTATAATTAGTAAAAATCGGATTTTTAAAATTAATACAATCTATGATCCCTTAAAATATGAAAATTTCCTTTATTAAATATGTATTAATTGACTAAAATACCCTTCTAGTTAAATTTGATGGTATTTTTCAATTATTTTTAATTCAATAATATGTATTGACCACTTTCTTAAAATAAGTAAAATGATTGACCCACACTTATGCATACAATAACACAATAATTAATTTTAATAGAATAACCTAAGCCTATATATATATATATATATATATATATATATATATATATATATATATATATATATATATATATATAGGGTAAATTACACCATTCGTCCCTCGTGTACATGCCAGAAAGCGTGTTTAGTCCCTATTTTCAAAAATTAACTCGGACCATCCCTCGTTTGTTTTAACCTTACACGCTTCATCCCTGAAAGACGATTTTGTTGCGAACTTAGTCCATGCCTAATTTAAAATGACCATAATACCCTTCTATTTTTATTTTTTAATTAATTTAATGTTTTATTATGAATTTCAATTAAAAAAATAAAATAAACCCCCTCCCCTTCATTTTCCCCAACCCATCCATCCCTTCATTGTTACTGATCGGAAAGAAGCACCCAAACACAACATACAAACTGCAGACCACCACCACCGTCTCCACCCTCTGATGAACATTCCTCACCCCTTTCTGATGGGTGGTTGTGGTCGTCGTTCTAAAGCCTTTTCATCGGAATCTATTGCTCGTCTTCTCTGGCGGAAACGACGGGATCTAACGGAGGCTCCTGCGATGATCTTCGACCTCTTTCTTAATCTAAATCTGACAGAGGCTCCTTTTGACGCCCACCCTCACCGTCACCGGCTCACATGTGCGCCGCTATCAACGTCGGTTAGGGTTTCGACAGATCTTCGTTTAAAACATCTATCTCCACAGTCAGAATCGAAGCTCCACAGTCGAGTCTACATTTGTTCAACTGAAAACCTTCGTCTTCGTCACCACCTGTTCGCCGAAGATGGAGCGTTCATCGCCACCTGTTGGGTTTTACACCGGTTTGCGCTAGGTATTTGAGAGTTACAGGTCGGATTTGTAGATGCGTGATCGCCAGTGGAGTTACAGAAAATAGGAGAAGGTTTCTGAGCGGAACTACGAAGGTGATGCTTTGTCGGAAGTCGGCGATCACCTTCTTCACCAGTGCCCCACCATCAGAAGTCGTTGATGAAGTTTCAGATGGAGGGTTTCAGATCGAGGTGTTACCGGAGAAATAAGGAGGTGAGAAGAGGGGAGAACGGAAGTGTCGTAAGGAGGGGTGGGGATTTTTGGTTTATTTTCTTTTTTATTATTTAAAACTAATAAGGAAATAAAAGAAAATCTAAAAAGAAATAATTCAGGGTAAAACAGTCATTTCATGTCAATAGGGACTAAGCGTGCAAGAAAAATCAAACCTAGGGACGGTCCGAGTTAATTTTTGAAAATAGGGACTAAACACGCTTTCTGACATGTACACGAGGGACTATTGGTGTAATTTACCCATATATATATATATATATATATATATATATATATATATATATATATATATATATATGCTAACAATTATTGATAAAATAGAGTATATGTTATAGACAAAGCTATTAAATAATTATGATGTAAGCCCCTTTATTATGAAATTCTGGCTCCACCCCTAGACGTGTTCATATATACCTAAGTAGGCAATTCCTTTTTCACTAAGATCGTTGAATTAGCTTAACCACAAATTATGGCAGTGTTGCATATTCTTGTTGCTATGCAAATAGGACGTCGGAAGGAAATTTTCCTTCTATGTCAGGAGCCCTCTTAGTATACAAGCAAGTCTAGCCTCTATAATTTCCCAATTATTTCTAGACCTTTCTAAGAAACTCCATGGCATACCTTTCCACATTTTTAGTGATATAATTTAGATAATACAACAAGAAAGAACAAGTTCTAAAGCTAACAGAACACCTATTAACGATGTCTACATTTATTGAGTACGGAAAAGTGGTAAGAAAGGATCGAGATTCTTACTGCTATGAAACATGAGGGTCTTAAATGCACAGGGTTTCCGAGCAAGTTTTGAATGTTCATCAAGTATTTTTTGCACAATATCTACAATGTATACCGACATTTGGTTAGTAAATTGGAACTCTTTGACAAAGAAAACACAATATGTAAAGAATATAGTATATTACAAGAGAAATTTTCTTACTAAATAGCCCCGCCTTTATATATTCTTACCAAATAGCTCAGCCTTGATATATTCGAAGAGAACACTAGTTCAAATGTCGTTTGTCCAAAGAGGGCAAACATCTTTTTAGACTTTTCAAAAAGATAGTCCACCATGTGACCCTATGGTGGACGTTTGAAGGATAGAACTGCCATGTCCACCAAGGCGTTGTGATGTGACGTTTATTGTTTTTATTTATGTTGCACCTTACTAGTTCATTCTCTTGATCTAAAATCTCTTTTAGGCTAGAGGGAATGGTAGCACTCGTAACACCTTGTCATATCATTTTTTTTTGCTGTCACGTTATTTTTTTGCCTTCCACCTCACTAACATTTTTTCCTTAGCACTTCATAGGGAGTGGTAACAGTAACACCCCTACCAAATCTTAAAAAAAAGTTTTTTTTTTAAATAAAAAATAGGGTCAAAATGTGATTAAATGAGAATCAAAGTGCAGCAACCAATCCCTAACCTTTACACCTTTCTCTTTCTTCACGCTACTTCCTTAGCGAGTTGGTCTTGGCGTCTTGCTTAGCAACTCTTAAGGAATGGTGTACCATATCTTAGCAAAGGTTTTGGCGAGAGGGGTGGCGAGGCCACTCCCTCAAGCCTTACGGCCTCCCAGACCTCATGTAGTGATAGTCCTCATTTAGTGTTGCTTTTTCAAGGGGAAGACAATTTGGTGGCAGTGGAAGAATCCAAGATTTAAATCCATGTGTTTCCAATATAAATGCAATGACAAAAGAAACAAGTCAAAAAAAATTGGTAATCGAGTCACGTTTTCAATAATACTATCCAACACAAGTATAATATGAACTTTAACACCAAAATATAATAAAAGAAATAGTTTTACATGTTTCAATTGTTTATGACAAAGTTCCCATATATATAGTTAAATATGACAAGTTCTCATATTTGTTAAATTAATCCATATATGCGTTATTGTAATTTAATCTAACACATTTTTCAATATACAATATATATTGTTCAATATATAACATTAGATAATTATTTAAAAATTGATCACTCCACATTTGATGTTGCAAGAAGTAAATTAGTACTAAACAAAGGAGGATATACTTAATTAATAACCAAATAAATAATTGAGATGGAAGAAAAATTCACTTTACAAAATTGATGTCCAGCAAACCTATTTCTACTTTCTGGATTAGATTACTAGACATTACTTATCACTTCTCTCTTTAATTATTGGTTGACTAGCGAACCCATTTACCAAAGGGCTTCTAGCTCAGTGGTACTGGGTGTTGTCCTCCTTCTTAGAGGTTGAGGGTTCAAGTCTCATTGGAGACATAGGTGGTATTAGGAGGTGATATTAGGAGTAGTGTATATTTGTTGTTCTAAAAAAAATAAAAAAATACTAGCGAACCCATTTCTACTTTCTAGATTAGATTACTAAAGTTTACTTATCACTTTTCTTTTTGAGAGTGTCCATATTTATTTACCATGGGTGTAATCTATAATAAAAAATAAAAATAAAGGATAATCAATTCTTCTTGCTTCTGTTTAAATCTGTAACATGAAGCTATTATAAACTAACACAAAAGATAGTTTACAGACAGTATCATTAGAAATAGTAACCTAAAGCAGATCTTATTGTGTCATTAACACACAAGATACGTTTATACTTTATAGTAGTATCATTAGAAATACTAACCTAATTAAAGCCGATCTTATCGTTTCAATGGAAAAAGCATGTAAAACTTTAAATCTCTTTCGAAGATATTAATGGACTACTTCGTTGAAACGTTGAGAGTATCGATTACAACGTTGTAAAATGATAAACAGAAAATATCAGACATAACAACACAAATTGTACCTGATTAGCAACAGCTTGAATAAGAACAAGTCTGAACAACACTTATGCGTGATTTAATGGTTACAAAGTAAAGAACCTACTGACAAGATGGAAACAAAAAGAGAAAAGGGTTTTCTCATTCAGGGCTTCAGTGATAGAGGAGATCGGGAGACTACGCAATTATTCTCTCTCTCTCTCTCTCTCTCTCTCTCTCTCGTTAAATAGCTACATAAATTACAGTTTCAACCTTCGGTTTACAGAAACTTGTCAAAATCTACCCTACTACAAACTTTAATCTTTAATATTCCTCAACTTTTGCTTTAGCAAATAGATTAAATTAAAAACAAACGGTTTATAAAGAAAAACAAATATTAACTTTTCAAAGTTAGGTTTGGATTAATTTGACAGTTTCAACAAAAGCTTGTAATTGGAAACCATGAGTTATTTTTGTTACAAGTTTTGGCATCATCACATACGCCTACAACTCCCCAAAAAAACACACCCAAAGTGCAATTCTGTGTAAATTACGAAAAAACAAAAATATAGTTGCTTTAAAAGCTCATTCAAAATCATCTGTTTATTATTTGTAAACTCTAACTTTTGTCTACAAGCTAGCTTCCTCATTATATTTATTTAGATTTGGATGCATGATTTTTTTTTTAAATTAAAAAACTCCAGCCTTTTGTCTAAAAGCTAGCTTTTCTACTATTCAAAATCCAAATGTATACTTAGCTTTATTTTTGTTTTTTTTTTCTGCGATGGAATGAGAAGACGTATAAATCTAATCTATTTTTAAATTACTTCCTCCGCTTCAAAAAACACCTATACTATTGATGGGGTAGAAGCCATTTAATTGTGGGTCCTCATATACACACTCTACCTAACATCCAAAAACACAAAACTAATTAGGTCCCCACTTCCTTTTTTTTTATTGAAAAGTGATTGGTTCAATATTACAACTCGAACTCCATTAGTGGAGCCTACATCAAAGTGCTTTCAGATCAAATTTCACAATCAGGTCGATATATACTTATAGTTAAAACTCCATCATTAGTAATAAATTAAATCCACACGTCTGTTATTTATATTATTAAGTGCCATATTTAGTAATAAATTAAAATCGTCACGTCTCTTAATGTATTCAATTTTGCTAACCTTTACTTTTGCATTAATGTTTTTGGCATATTAAGCATGTGGACAGATTTATTATACATATGTATAACAAATAATATTATTTGTATATCGTAATCATTCAGAAATTTTGAGCATTTAATTTAATTAAATATTTCAAATATAATATTTTTTTTAACACACACTTCGTGTCTATTCTTAAACCTTTTTTTGTCTTTAAATGAGACTGAACCTCAATCTAGTGTTGAGAGACACGTCCACCAACACATGGCACTGGGCTACAGCCTACAAGCCCTTTGATTTTCTACAATAGTTGTATATACTTGGAGGATCAAGGATTTGGATAGGGAGATCGGAGGCACAAAAAAATATTCATATACAATTTTTTCGGGTTTGGTAAAAATGTTTAAAATGCCGCTAAACAAAAAAAGTGTTTAACTTCATTTGTAGAATTCGCCAGTTCTTTTCAACATATCAAATCAAATAAGGATTAAAATATTCAATACAAGCAATAACAATTAATCCGATAACTAAGTACCACCAATCGTATTCTTGAATTTTTCAATATATGAAATTTCATCATTCATTGTAATCGTACCACAGCAAAAGGTTTGGGCCAGTTAAGATTGAGTACATTGACCATACAACCATTCCATGCAGACATAACTTTTATCATATATATTGGCCATACCCTTTTTCTCGAAATATCATTTCAATTCGTCGTTCATATCTTCTTCAATATTATGTGTACAATGGCATCAAAACAATTTGTGTGTATGAGAGATTTATGTTGATTGATGGACTATAAACATTCGTAGCCAGGTCTATTTACAAAACATTGTTCTAAACTACATTTACTTGTTCCTTAAAATTGGAATTATATAAGTGCAAAGCTTTCTCCTCTAAAGATTAATGAGGTTTTGTAGTCTTTTAATTTAATGTAGGGGACAATGAAATATGTTAAGATATAAAGACGATCAACCTAAAAGGAAATCGCCAGCTAATGCTACCAAACAACTTTGGAAATCTAATTGTAAAGTCGCATCCTTAACCTTATTATCAATATTGCTCGACTTAATCATAAAGCTTTTTAGTTGTTGATTTGGAGTTAAGACGACACAAAAAAGATGAAGTAGAAAAAAGCTCCACTATCTTTAATGCTATATATTTGGTAAAACACATTAACAGTGGTGACTTTTCTTTAATTTGTTAAAAAAATGGGAAGTTGTGAAAGTTACGACACATTACACATGGGTTGTCGAAGTGTTAAAGGAAAAGTTGAATATTATGGAACCATTATCAAGGGTAGAGAAGGGTTGGTGCAACATTCGTAATTTAATTGGTTTAATTAGTACATTACATTTAATCGGATAATATGTATAAATTTGGACTTTCAACTACAACCAAGGCTCTTACAAGGATTTTTCTTTTAGTAATTTATTGGGATTCCGTACATTAAATGGTGTTATGATATTCAAAAAAATAAATAAATAAATAAAATAAAGTTCGATAGAATTTTGCTCCATGTGAGTTTGGTAATCTGTGTCTAATCACGACCAACATATAGAAAACTAAGTGACATGCACATGTGAACACGGGCACACATATATTAATTTTGAAAATACATCAACGATAGAATTAAAATAAAGAAATTACGAAACACAACAAACACAAATATCTATCTATGAAATATTTTTTTTTTTTTTTTTTGCATAAAACAACATATTTCACTTATTTATATTTATAAAAAACTTACATACATGTTAAAACATTACATTATTTAAAAAAAAGTAAACAAATCAAGATGTTTTTTTTTCTTCTTCAAAACATCCTAAAACCTCTTATATAGACTCAATAATAGCATTGTCACTTGTAACGTCCCAAATTACAAAGGAGATTTTTCATTTTAAATAAGTTAATTGTTAGTGATTTTAGCGTCACCAGGACATTTTGTGTAATTGGAACTACATGTAAGCTAAGGGGTTTATCGTTTGTACTCTATATTATATGTTTGGTGAATGCAGAGTGCATACATATATAAGATCGAATTATAAGTCGCCCCAAAAAGTTTTTCGGAAATTTTAATTAGTTACATTATGGAAAAACCGAATTCTAATGGGTTGTTATGGTAAAATTGATAAATCTTATCAATTTTGGTAACTATTGATTATGCCATTAAAATTCGTGATTCTCTTAACTAATTTAGAAGATGGATAATTATGGTAAAATTGACAAATCTCATCAATTTTGGTAACCATTAATTTCGGATTTGTTTCCTCATTAATTTGCATTCGCTTGATTTGTTTGCACATTAATTTGGATTCTATTGATTTGTTTCCTCATTAATTTGGATACCTTTGATTTGTTTCCAAAGACACCGATGACGGCCAACCCTAATATTGAAACCCTACATTTCATTTACTATATAAACGGCTCTTCTCTTTGAAGGGGGATAACTCTTTTAGCTCTCGTTTCTTCATACAAAATCAGAATCTTCTAGCAATTTGGCTTACGTTTTTTGTGCCTAGATTCGTAAGTGTCCCCTTGGGATTATCCTAGGCTGAGTTTCTTGTAACATAGGCATAGGGTAGAAATATCAATTCGGAAAGTGTTTACACGATCCAAGGGATATCCAGATCTCTACCATAACCCTACCCCAATTTCTAACAATCAAGCTAATATCTTTTGTTTCTAGAGATGAGTGAATCAATCCGTGAGATGACCATGAAGTTCGCAAAACTGGAGAAGTTTGAAGGCATTGATTTTAGGCGCTGAAAGAAGAAGATGCACTTCATGTTAACCACTCTGAAGGCAACATACGTGCTTACCACTCCAAGACCATCTAAACCAGAGGAAAAGTGTTGATGAGACACTTGAACATACCAGGAAGAGGCAAAAGTGGGACAACGACGATTACATTTGTAAAGGTCACGTCTTAAACGGTATGTCTGATGCTTTATTTGATATCCATGGTGATGCTTTAACTGCTAAGGACTTGTGGGACACCCTTGAATTGAAATACATCACAGAGGACGCTTCTAGCAAGAAGTTTTCGGTTAGTGACTTTAATAACGTTAAGATGGTCGATTCAAGGTCTGTCACTGAACAATATAATGAACTCCTTTGTATTTATGGTCAATTTAAACCGCACAATATGAATATAGATGAACCTATTGCCGTGTCAAGTGTAATTGACAAACTTCCACCATCTTGGAAGGATTTCAAACATACCCTAAAACATCAAAAGGAGGAACTATCATTGGTTCAACTTGCTAGTCATATTCGTATTGAAGAATTTCATCATACGAAGGAAGTTGACAAATATGATAATACCAAAGGGAAAGTTGAATCAGGACAACCCTCTGTTCATATGGTTGAAAATAAATCCAGGAACCTGAACCATAAAGGACATGACAAACGTAAACAGGAACATGTCCCAAATAACTCCAACAAAAAGACAAAGGAACTCGTTTGTTGGAGGTGCAACAGGGTGGGGCATTGCAAGCATAATTGTCGTGTGAACTTAGGCAACAATAATAACAATAATGGTGTTGGAAACAGTGGAGCCAATGGAAGTGTGAATGGGTCTTCGGGTCAAGTTAAAGGAGGTCAGTTTTTGACTAACTTTGATAACTCAAAGCAGAATTATGTTTATTATGTTTCACTAATTCCTGAATAATTCTATGTACAGGATGATGATGTTGCTTAGTGGATCGACTCTGGGGCAACGAACCATGTATGCAAGGATAAACGGTTGTTTGGAACATTAACACCGCTTGAAGATGGGTCGGTGCTGAGAATGGGATACGATTCTTTTATTCCAATTTGTGGTATCGGTGTTTTGAGTCTTTAACGTACTTCTTGAAAGACTATTAGGCTTTTTGATATTTTGTTTGTTCCTAAGATTCGAAAGAATCTTGTTAGTTCTAGTTGTTTGAATTTTGATGGTTTTAAACAAGTTATTGAGTCGAATAAGTTCATTTGATCCCAAGGTGGAATGTTTATTGGGTTTGGATATTTATATAAAATAGAATGTTTCGTTTGAATATTGTTGAC